TTCAACACACGTACGGTTGGGAAGACGTCTCCTCCTTCTTGATCCAACAAGGGGGAAGGAGAGGTTGATGGAGATCCAGCAGCACGATGGCGTGGTGGTGGATGCAGCAGCGATCTCGGCAGGGCTTCGCCAAAGCACAGCGAGAGGGAGAGGTGTCACGGGAGGCGCCAGGGGCTGGGTGCGCAGCCCTTCCTCCCCCCTCTTTATATAGGGGTCTAGGAGGGGCGCCGGCCCCTCTATATCCCATCTAGATGGGGGGCAAGGGGGGTGGCTTGCCCCCCAAGCCAAGTGGGGCGCCCCCCACCCCTAGGGTTTCCAACCCTAGGCGCAGGGGGGGCCAAGGGGGGGGGGGGGCGCACCAGCCCACCAGGGGCTGGTTCCCCTCCCACTTCAGCCCATGGGGCCCTCCGGGATAGGTGGCCCCACCCGATGGACCCCCAGGACCCTTCCGGTGGTCCCGGTACAATACCGGTGACCCCCGAAACTTTCCCGATGGCCGAAACTGGATTTCCCATATATAAATATTCACCTCCGAACCATTCCGGAACTCCTCATGACGTCCGGGATCTCATCCTGGACTCCGAACAACTTTCGGGTTACCGCATACTAATATCTCAACAACCCTAGCATCACCGAACCTTAAGTGTGTAGACCCTACGAGTTCGGGAGACATGAAGACATGACCGAGACGACTCTCCGGTCAATAACTAACAGCGGGATCTAGATACGCATGTTGGCTCCCACATGCTCCTCGATGATCTCATCGGATGAACCATGATATCGAGGATTCAATCAATCCAGTATACAATTACCTTTGTCAATCGGTACGTTACTTGCCCGAGATTCGATCATCGGTATCCCAATACCTCGTTTAATCTCGTTACCGGCAAGTCACTTTACTCGTACCGTAATGCATGATCCCGTGACTAGACACTTGGTCACATTGAGCTCATTATGATGATGCATTACCGAGTGGGCCCAGAGATACCTCTTCGTCATACGGAGTGACAAATCCCAGTCTTGATTCGTGCCAACCCAACAAACACTTTCGGAGATACCCGTAGTGCACCTTTATAGTCATCCAGTTACGTTGTGATGTTTGGCACACCCAAAGCACTCCTACGTTATCTGGGAGTTGCACAATCTCATGGTCTAAGAAAATGATACTTGACATTTAGAAAAGCTCTAGCAAAACGAACTACACGATCTTGTGATACGCTTAGGATTTGGTCTTGTCCATCACATCATTCTCCTAATGATGTGATCCCGTTATCAATGACATCCAATGTCCATAGTCAGGAAACCATGACTATCTGTTGATCAACGAGCTAGTCAACTAGAGGCTCACTAGGGACGTGTTGTGGTCTATATATTCACACATGTATTACGATTTCCGGATAACACAATTATAGCATGAACAATAGACAATTATCATGAACAAGGAAATATAATAATAATCATTTTATTATTGCCTCTAGGGCATATTTCCCGATAGATTCACCACCGCCTCCATGTAGACACCATATAGGAACCCTAACGCTGCTGATCTGAAGGATTGGCAAACACACGATGCCATCAACTCCGAGACACCGCCATGAAGGGCATCGCTATGTGGGAGTGGAGCTAAGGCATATTTATTCGTTTGGGCGCTGCTCCCACCACCCCAACGACGCACCACGACCTACAAATCCAAACCCTAATTGCAAAACGAAGGAACGGGGTCTCCCTCCCTCCTGCCGCTGGAGCAGCAGCCAGAGGGAGAGGGGTCAGCGCCGTGGCCGGCTGAGATCAGTGGAAGAAGATCGCCTCCCTAGTCATGTGGCTCGTGGCGCCTGCTAGATTAGGAAAATTACAACACGACACCTCCTCAAAAGCTTGATTAACATTCTTTTAAATACATGGACATTTTTTTTCACAAATAGCATATTTTTTGTATACATTTTCATGTACATGTTCGCCATTTTTTATATTCACATTTACCACTTTTCAAAACATTATGTCAAATATATTTTTGTAATAAAATAAAACAAAAGATGAAAAAAAACCGAGGATGTGGACTCCAGCACACCTGGGCTGGGCCATCTCGAGCTGCCTTGATGCAAGGGTTCCGTAGGTGTCGCTCTAAGCGAGACATAGGGCGCCCGAATAAATTGTACGAGCCTGACCAAATTAATCAGACAACGTACGCGTGCACGGCCGATGTACGGGCCGGCCCACCCAATAAAAATTAACTCAGCGTTCCTCCTCGATATAAGTCAGTTTCGCCACATGTAGCATGATAGGAGCTTCTATTGGACGCTCTTTGCGTCCAACAGTGAGCAGACGCATAGAGGACCCCGTGTCTGGGCCGGCCCACTAAAAGGAAACGAAGGAGAGCCAAGCCAAAAAATGAAATTAGCGAGTAGTCGACAGGGATCGAACTCGCGGCATGTGAGTCGTCAACGCGTGCTACTAGCCACTGGAGCTGATTGTTGTTTCTGATATACAAAGAGCACGAGCATTTTAAGATCTCAGCGAAGCGGCTCATTTAAAACAATCTTTACAAAAATGTTTGATCATTTCGTGATTTTAATAAATAAATAAATGTCAAATATTGTTTTGAAAAAGAAAATAAAATTTGGAATTCTAAACATTTTCATTCCATTTCTAAAAAGAACATGAAGAAATTTTCAAATCTCGAACACTTCTCTAATATGTGAACAATTTTTTAAAATGGACACATTTTTTCAAAATTTCAAACAAAATTTGAAAAAATGAACATTTTGGAAATCTATGAACATTTTCTAGTACGCGAACATCTTTTGAATCTCTGAACAATTTTTCAAAAATATTTTTTTAAAACACGAACAATCTTTGAAAAATTGGAACAAATTTTGAATTTCAGTTTTTAAAATGAGAACAAACATTAACATTTCAAACTATTTTGGAAAAGATGAACAAATTTTGAAAATATGAACAAAATTTTAAACTCCAGACATTTGAAATTGTGCACAATTTTTGAAAACGTGAACAATAATTTGAAAATCAGAACATTTTTTGAAAAACCTAAACAAATTTTGATATTCCAAGCATATTTTGACATAGTGAACAATTTTTGAAAACATAAATAAAATTTTGAAACTCAGCACATTTTTGGAAAACCTGAACAATTTTGGAAATTCTGAATGTTTTCTGAATATAAGAACAATGTTTGAAGACTTGAACAAAATTTGCAACTCAGAACCATGTTTGAAAACTTGAACAAATTTAGAAATTCCAAACATTTTTCACGAAAACACGAATGATTTTTAAAAACATGAACAAATTTGGAAACTTTCAAATATTGTTTATAAAAATTGAACAATTATTTAATATTTTGAACATTTTCAGAAAAGAAAAGAAAGAAGATACAGTAAAGAAAAGTGAAAAAGAGAAAAAGAAAAGAAAAGATAAATAAATAGATAAAAACGAAAATAACGAGAAATAAAAACAAAACTGTGAAAACGCAAAAAGAAAGAAAAAACGGTTTAGGAACCTTCTAGAAGGTTCCCAAAACTAGTCAGGAACCTTCCAGAAAGTTCACAAAACCATCTGCTCACACCCTCAGCTGGGCCTGCCCATTCTATCTATCTGGTGTCAGCGGGTGTGCGATTGGTCGATTGTTTGCCACAAAATGCGGCAAATAGGAATTTCCAAATACCCTATCGCCTTACCGGCAACGGAAAACGCTCCCGGCTCTCGCTTGCTCGCACCACCCACCCCAACCCCCGCCCCGCCGAAGCCTCAATCAGCTCTCGCGTTGACTCTCGAGGGTTCCGCCCTACCATGCGGGGCCACCCTCCCAGCCACCGAGCATCTCGAGCCCCGGGGAGGGCTCGCTCGAAACCCTAGCCGCCGCAATGTCTCGCCGCGGCAGCGAGGAGGAGGAGGAGGCCGATGAGTCGGAGGTGGAGGAGAGGGTTCTGCATTATGTTCCTACTTTTATTACTTCCTCTCCCATACTAATCTTTTGGTATCGTACTTAATGACGAGTAGTTATCTTTTATGGTCTTATGAATATGCTCAACTCGATGTTGCCTTATAATCCCATGCCGATATTGAACTCCATTATGTCTTTCTTCTCACAAATGAATGTTTCTTTTCACTTTATTTTGTTATACCATGTTTGAATTCATATGGTAAACTCAGATTCCTACTAACTTAGCACTATTTGCTTCATCAAAACGTTAGGACCGGCACCCTCGCGCCAAGGCGCGCTCCCGATCTAGTTATTGGACGGAGGAGGTAGATAGTATTCCAAAAGAAGGTGTCGCTGCTCAGTGCACACAAAAATCCTGGAGTGACAACATTTTTTTTTCTTTTTCTTTTTGCAACGGAACGACATATCCATCATCCCCACATGACATATGTACCAAGATGCTGAGCTCTAGAAAAAGGTAGGCCGAGATAGCAACTGTAAAAAGAGGGTTGGCCGAGATGTACATATCGGGGTGAGGTGGGCCGTCTGGGGGACGGGCCAGGAGCACTCAAGCTAATGGCTGTTTGAGGAATGATCCGGAAGCAGAATAAATTGCACGGGGACTATATCTCACTTATATCAAGACGGAAAAAACCCTCCTTCAGCGCACATGGGCCGGCCCATCTCAAGCTGTAAGTCCCGTAGGTCTCGCTATAAGCGAGACATAGGGCGCCCGAATAAATTGCAGGAGCCCGGCCGAATTAAAGCAGCCAATTCCTACGCGCGCACGGCCGATGTACGGCCCTGCCCGGCCCACCCAACCAAAATTAACTCAGCGTTCCTCCTCGCTGGAAGTCGGTTTCGCCGCTAAATACCCTCTCGCCTTGCCGGCAATCGAAAGCGCTCCCCGCTCTCGCTTGCTCGCACCCACCCACCCCAGCCCCAGCCCCGCCGAGGCCTCAATCGCCTCTCGAGGGTTCCGCCCTGCCACGCGGGGCCACCCTCCCAGCCGCAGCGCGTCTCGAGCCGCGAGGAGGGCTCGCTCGAAACCCTAGCCGCCGCAATGTCGCGCCGCGGCCGCGAGGAGGAGGAGGAGTTCGAGGAGGTAGAGGAGGAGGAGGAGGCCGATGAGTCGGAGGTGGAGGAGGAGAGGGGCGAAAAGCGGTTGCGCGGCGGCGGGGGGGAGGGCTCGGGCGTCGCGAGCTTCATCGACGACGCGGCCAGCGAGGACGACGACGAGGAGGAGGAGGAGGAAGAGGATGACGACGACGAGGACGACGACTACGAGGAGGGCGGCCGCGGCCGCGGCCGCCGGCCCAGCAAGAGGAAGCGGTCGATCCTGATCGACGACATGGCGCAGGTCGACGACGACGACGGCGAGGAGGAGGAGGAAGACGGGTACGAGGAAGGTGAGTGCTCGCTTGCCCTATCGGCCGTACGCCGGCGCCTGGACCCGGGGTAGCAGAATCGTTATCATGTTTAGTTTCCCGTATCCAAATTCGCCGGGGTTAGTGACGATTTCGTGTAGGATTTTTGCTTCCCAGTCGTTGGTTCCGCAGCATTTCTACACTATCGAGGATTTCTGTGATCGCCGTTGCTAGTTCCCTGCCTGCATTTGGGACTCGTTGCCCCTGTTAGAAATGCTGAGGGTGCTTAGTTGGGTTGTTTGTTGGTCAATCCGGCTTGAATTACATTCTATTGTTGCTTCAGTGTTGGCTAGGCTCGATAACCATATGTGAACCATCAGCGGCAATGTTTTACGCAATGCTTCTTATTTTCCTGTTGTGAACCATCAGTGGAATTTAGTGCGAACTGTGTTAATTTCGTAATTTGGCCATAAATGGGAGGTCGTGTGGAGTGAAGGACCAAAGTCCATGTTCCATTAAAACTTATTACTTCCTGCCACTTATGGCTAGACCTACCCAGTATATACCTGGGAAATTGTCGTTACAATCAACTGTCTGGCTCTTTCCAAACCAGCATTGTAGTCATGATGATGGACAGAATCATATCCTCCAGAAATTACTAGGGACCTTTATATGATCAAGAGTTTTGGTTTCGATGCCCAGATGGCACTTTTATGTAATTTTTTTGATATAGTCTTGTTACTTCAAGCTCAATGTAACCATTATGTTTCTTAAGATTAGATGGTGTGGAATTTGATGTTTAGTCGATCATCAACTGCAGTTTCTTTATGGATGTACTCTTGCCATTGGTCCTGAGTTATGTTCACATGGATGTTTATTTCTGCCATTCAAGTATAACATTTTTACTTTCCCTTTCGAATTAAAAAATTTCTGTGCTTGCCTATCTGTGGGTTGAGTTGTGTAGTATGCAAAAGCAAGACTATTTGTGTTAATGCGTGACTTACGCTCCTTTGCTTTTCGGCAGGTTTTATTGATGATGATGCTCGGGCTGATAATCCTGACGAGGATGTGCAAAGGGGTTCTAGACGTCATTTCAATCCAAATCCAATGGATGATGCAGATGATATGGAGAACTTGGAAGAGATGTTAAAATGGAAATATAGAACGCAATCACACTCTGATTTTGATGAAGAGGGTCTAACCGAGGTTGAACAGCAAGCTCTCCTGCCATCAGTGAATGATCCAAAGCTCTGGATGGTGAAATGTGCGGTAGGTTGCAAGTTCTAGGAAAATTAAGCTCTTGCCACAGCTCTGCTATTTGTTCATTGTACCATTTGAATCTCATTGTTGTTCTAATTATGACGTCAGATTGGACATGAGCGAGAGACAGCCCTTTGTCTAATGCAAAAGTTCATTGATAGGCAAGATCTCCAGATTAAGTCCGTCGTTGCATTGGAACACCTAAAGAATTACATTTATGTTGAAGCAGAGAAAGAAGCCCATGTCAAGGAGGTAACCAGTGCGTAAATTGACATTCTAGTCTTCTTGATAAGGGATGTTAACTAAACTTCATTGCAGGCTTGCAAAGGTCTGCGGAACATCTTTTCTTCAGCAAAAATACTTCTGGTTCCTACAAAAGAAATGACTGATGTTCTCTCTGTCACGAGTAAGTCTGCTGATCTTTCAATAGATACATGGGTCAGGTTGAAGCTTGGTATATATAAAGGGGATCTTGCTAAGGTATGGTCATCATTGTTTCCCTGGCTGTTGCTACTATATATTTGTCAATTGCCCAGTTATTTATTTTGATTACCCCCAGGTTGTCGAAGTTGATGATGTGTGCCAAAAGGTTACTGTGAAGGTCATTCCTAGATTAGATTTACAAGCTTTGACAGATAAATTGGTAAGTTATGCTAGTTGCCATTCATCGTGATTTTCTACCTGTCACCTTTCAACGTAACATACACTTCTATCAGTGGGTTGAGCTCATTGACATGCCGTTTTATATATCGTCTTGCATCCGCTGTGAACATAGTACTTCAAGTTTGGGTTCTCTTTCCCATATGATTCACAAGTTCCATGCACTGCTGTGTCCAAAAATGGAATTAGTAGATTTTAACTTATTGAAGGACTTCTTAATTATCAATCTATCTTCTTGGTAGAATGCGTGTTTATACTTCGTATTGTGCTTGCTTGCTGGATGACTTAGCATGATATGACTTTTGTATTGTCAGAAAGGTCTTAAGGTTGCAAAGAAGAAGTCGTTTATTCCACCGCCAAGGTTATTTAGTACCGACGAGGCGAGGTGCTTAATGCTTTTCATCCTTTCGCTATCAAATGATAGTTCAGTTTTATTTATTTATGTATCTTGTCTCCTCTTTTTTCTAACTTAAATGAACACAGGGAGATGAACATTCCTGTAGAACGGAGGAGAGATAGAGATTCTGGGGAATACTTTGAGATGGTTGGCGCTTTAAAATTTGAAGATGGTTTCTTGCGCAAAATAGTCTCGATAAAATCAATCAGCACACAGAATGTTAAGCCATCACTTGATGAATTGGAGAAATTCGGGAGAGTTGGTGATGACGTGAATGAAGATGTGGCTAGATTGTCCACACTCAGCAGGAAGAAGGGACATTTTATGAAAGGCGATGCTGTAGTTGTTGTTAAAGGTGATCTCAAGGACATAAGGGGCTGTGTGGAGAAAGTAGAGGATTCTATTGTTCACATCCGACCAACACCAACACAATCTGATCTTCCGGTAATTACTTGCAGTGAATTTATTATACTACTATCAACTGGACTAGAAAATTTAAACATCTCTTTGTACCATGCAGAAAACACTTGCCTTCAGTGAGAAAGATCTCTGCAAATATTTCAATCCCGGGGACCATGTAAAAGTGGTTTTTGGTGTTCAAGAAGGTGTGACAGGCATGGTAGTTAAAGTGGAAGGACATGTCTTGACTATTTTATCTGACACAAGCAAAGAACATGTGAGCAATTGTTGGTACACCTGTGCATCTATTGGAAATTGCTTTGTTTAAACATATTTTGTAGTATGTTTAACTCTTTTTTGTGACTGCAGATCCGTGTGTTTGCAGATCATGTTGTGGAGAGTTCTGAGGTCACGACGGGGCTTACCAGAATTGGTGATTATGAATTGCATGATCTTGTCCTTCTTGAGTAAGCCCAGAATTTTTAGTGAGGTTGCTACCCATCATGTCTAACGGCTACGAAACAACTTATACCATTTCTTCCCTTTTCAGCAATTTATCATTTGGTGTGATTGTAAGGGTGGAAAGCGAAGCATTTCAGGCAAGCAGAACTGTCTAAATATTCATCTGTCTGATTGTCTTGTACGTATAGTTATATGTATTGACCCTTTTGTATAATTAGGTTCTCAAAGGAGTGCCTGATAAACCTGAAGTGGTGCTCGTGAAACTGAGAGAAATAAAATACAAAATCGATCGGCGCACATCTGCAAAAGATAGCAGGAATAACACGGTGTCCACTAAGGATATTGTCAGGGTCATTGAGGGGCCATGCAAGGTGTGTACATTTTGCCTGTTATCTCGTGTTTTGATTATTTCTCTCACAATGTCTATTTATTCTGTTGTCTCAATTTAATCTTCTTATCACAGGCTAACAAACATTTATTTTTCTGTTCACATTAGGGAAAGCAAGGACCTGTGGAACATATACACAAAGGGATATGTTTTATACATGACCGCCACCACCTTGAACATTCAGGCTTTATCTGTGCAAAAGCACAATCTTGTGTCCTTGTTGGGGGATCGGTTGTCAACAGCAGCAGGATGGTCTGTGCTTTGATTATCTCAATTAAATTTTATTGGTACCTAGAACATGCCATCATATCTTCAGTTTACTTGGCTTTTCAGGGTGTTGATACAGCAGATCCACGGCTTGGTGCTTTTAGATCTCCAGCAAGGATCTTGCAATCTCCTGGAGGGCTTCCGCCGAGAGGACCTTACATGAATTGTACGAATATTGATAGTTTGGATGCTCCTTATCTCTGCCATTAGTTTTAGTCAGCTGCATCTTGTGCGAAGTCTATTTCTTACACTACTTTATGCTGATGTAATAATTCACTCCCCTCCTATCTAACACAGCTGGTGGAAGGTTTGGAGGAGGTGGTCGTGGTGGCAGAGGGCATGATGCCTTGGTGAGTAGATGCATCAAACTTAAATCTGGTCCCTACAAAGGATATCGTGGCCGTGTTAAAGAAGTGAATGGTGCACTCGTGCGTGTGGAGCTTGATTCACTTATGAAGATTGTCACAGGTGAATAATTTTTGTCACAATTGTTGTTGCCTGTCTACTGTTGACGACTAACCTTGCTGCAAACATATAGTTAAGAGAGAGGATATTGCTGACACAGCGAATGTTGGGACACCATTCCGGTAAATTTCTTTTTGATCAACCATATTTAACAAGCTGTTTGGTACCATTTTCTCATTTGCTGACCAGTTGTATTGGCAGTGAATCTCGTTATTCATTGGGCAGTGAAACACCTATGCACCCATCTCGAACGCCATTGTATCCTATTCAAACTCCAATGCGAGAACCTGGAGGTGTGCTTGCTTACATTCTTTGTTATGGTTCAATTTGAGATTACCTAGATCACTTTTTCTTTGTACAAGATGCACTTACGACCGTTCTGGACATAGGTGTAGTGAGCATTCAACAACATGCAACTTTGACTACTAATTTCTATCACATATGTTGCTAAGACGTTTTATTATAGTATTGTATTACACACTATCTACAGTGACTTCTAATTTCCGTGAATTTGAAATGCCATACATTTAGAAAAGGAGGGAATTACTATAGTTGCACCTACATCAAAATAATTCTTGTGTTCTCTGTACTTGAAGTTGAATAGTCATTATATTGCCACTTTGGCTCTCTTGCGTCATTCACCCATTTGATCTGCAAATCATTTTGGTGCTATTTGTTCATTTTCGCCCTCTCCTGTTCAGATGCCTATCATATCGCCTATTTCGGTGCCATTCATTTCATTGTACCATGTACTGTTTCTTATTCCCCTTTTCCATGGTAACAAGTTAATTGAATTTGCGCAGCGACACCAATTTGTGATGGATCGCAAACTCCTATGCATAATCAAGCCTGGGCACCAATGAGTCCACCGAGGTTGGTATACTTCTTTGGAGAACAAATTGGTTACTTGGGCTTGCAGAATTGAAATCCTGAAATTTAGAATAAAGCAGCTTCAGATGTTTTGTTTATCCTGCCCCATAGTGAAACTATTTCAACCTTGTCTGTTGCGAAGTGGAGTGTTGAAACTTTACTGGAGTTAATCTTGATGGTCTGTTTGGTTGCTGATTGTGTTCTAATTATATGATCAGGGATAACCAGGAAGATGGAAATCGTGGCACTTGGGGCGCTTGGGGGAGCAGTCCAGCTTACCAGGTTCCATGTGCTTCTTGTTAACTTTGAAAATTGTTTATCCTTGTGTTGGCTACCGAAATGTATTGCTGTTTCTACACACAGCCAGGAACTCCAGTAGCTAGGCCATTTGATGCCCCCACTCCTGGATCAGGGTGGGAAAGTACCTCTGGAACTGGCTTTGGTGATGCTCCATTCAACGCTCCAACACCTAGTGCTCAACCAATGACCCCAATTCCTGCCTCTTATTTGCCTGGAACCCCTGGTGGCCAGCTAATGACCCCAGGGAATGCTGGAATGGATGCAATGTCTCCAATGATAGGTTTGCCCTTGCCCTTTCATCTACAACCGGGATGGGATTGAAACCAGCACTTTGTGTGCACATCTGTGAATACCTTTTGCCAAAATGCTTTCAGGGGATGAGGGCGGCAGTAATTGGCTCTTGCCAGATGTTTGCGTCAATGTGTCCAGAGGAGATGGTTCCACCAATGGTGTGGTGAAGGAAGTACTCCTGGTATGTAATGTTCATTTATGGTTGTTACAAGTGCATGCAGAAGTTGTTTCTCCACATGTTTCTTTGGTGCTGTTTTTTTTTTTCGGTGTTAACATCTCCGGGAGTCTGAACTTGCAGGATGGATCTTGCCGTGTCGCACTTGGGCCATCACGGAGTGGGGATGAAGTAACAGCTCTTCCAGACGAGCTCGAGATCATCAGGCCGAAGAAGAGCGACAGGGTCAAGATAATGAATGGCAGCATGCGTGGAGTTATAGGAAGACTGGTAGGAGTCGACGGGTCTGATGGGATTGTCCGGGTGGAAAACCCGCTTGACATGAAAATAGTAGACCTGGTGATTTTGGGCAAACTAGCAACTTGAGATAGCTGGTTCACCTGTTAGGTGTTATCTTAACTGTCCTAGGCCGCAAAATTAGAAAGAAAAATACATGTTTTTGGTCAACTTAGCAATTTTAGATCACTCTAACCGGTCAGATTGATTGTTCTTAATCCCACTTGTTCGGTATCATGTGAATTATGTGATGTAGATTTCCAGATGCCTGCCCGGAGATATACTCGGGAATGCTTGATCTTTCTAATCCTGACATGACACATCATCCCGGTTTATCTTTCTGCACTTTGTATTCATATTTAAACTTTTGGGATTGGGATTTGCTCGTATGGTCTGCTCTAATAAAACCTGGAGAATCTCTTTCAAGTCTGCCCGATACGACATTGGTTTCCATTCTCTCACTTGTTCTCAATACAAGCTCCAGAACCCGTGGCAGTGCAGGCACAGTTGATGGAAGCAGTTTTATGTAAGTGAGCTGAGTTAGGGTACCGTCCAATAGGATCCACGCCTCCAGCGGAAAACTTGCAGTAACTTATTGTAAAAGAAGCCTCTAAGCTCAAAACCACAAATAATTATATCCCCCTCCAAATTTCACATTGATGTGTTCCTAGTGTATTTATTTTCATATATTCTTCTAAGGCATGATTCTCTGCTAAGTTATTGCATAACACGAATGCTTTTCCTTGAGTATTTGTGCCTTTTCCATAGGACTTTATTTCTGTAGCTATTGTAAAAGATGGCCGTGATGCATGATTTGAATGCTGAGCCAATGGATTAAGACTTGGGTTCCAAGTTCCATCGTCACTTGTCACTCTGCTTCGATGCACTGTTAGCATAATGAATGGAAATGACTAAATCAACTGTTGCCGCTGAACATGCCAGTAAAGAGAAAAGGAGAAGACACCAACCAAGACAAGAAAATCGCATAAACTAAAGAAACGAAGGCCACTGTGAAATAAGCCATCATGGAAAATAACCTGCACAAAAATTGATTCCACCAGGAATAGTAACCCAGTGTGCAAAATAAGGACAATTATTCAGTATGCACGTTACATGGAGAGAGTGACCCTTTTTTAGATACATAAACTGAGAATCATCACAAGGAAAGTAAGTTGAGGGGAAGAAGGGGTCGGTCCACTTAACCTAGTCAATGTCCCATCCAGCCCACACTGCCTACCTTCTTCGTTGACCACGATCGACTAGCACCCAGAGGCGAGGCTCTCTCAAAAAAAGAAAAAACCCAGAGGCGAGGCGGTGGTTTATAGGTCATTGCACACTACTCTTCAGCGCAGCATTCCGTCTACACACGATGGTTAAAGTCTAAACTTAACACAACGAAGACATTGCTATGTGCCTTTGCAGTGTGATGCATGCCGACTTACAAACATATTTAGCAAATGAGCACGCAAAGCCGGAAAATAGATTTTAGTGTAGTGATCACTATGTTCCCCATGCCTCTCACATCTAAAAATTCGCATCTATCTTTTGTCAGTATGATCACATAAATCTTAAAACTCACACTTGGTTCTTTTGGAATCTCTGTATGATCAATTTGTAGAAGTATTCACACTATCTTCCTTTTATAAGAAGGGAATGAATAGTTGGTTTGGTTTAATACGACAACTCATCCGAGCACATGTTGCGTCAGTCAGTAAATTTAATATGTTACTGGAAGCCACTGAACAAGATCGGGACAACTGGATCTGTCAGTATAAATTACATAAGAATTTATGAGTTAGGAGAAAATTGTTGTACATCAAACTAAAATAAATTACTTTAAGAACTATACACATAATATTTAAGTTATTTTAACATAATGTAAGAAAGATCTTTGTGTCACATACAATAACTTAAAAACCCAAAATAATAATCATTTCCCTCAAATTTCACATGTATGAGTTTTGTTCTATCCTCGGCATGGATGGTTTTCCTCATAAGCCGGAAAATTCTTAGAGATGTTATCAAAATAATTTAAGCATATATGATGGATCTTGTCAAGTTGCACTTAAGTCAAGAGGCGATGGGGATGAAGTAACAACTCTTCCAAACAAGCTTGTGATCGTCAAGAGAAGAAGAATGGCATGTTGAAGATAATCAAATAGAAAACTGATAGCAATCGACGAACCTGGTGGAACTGTCTAGGTGGAAGGCTCACTTGAAGTAAAAATAGTACACATGGTGATTTGGGAAAATTAGCAATATGAGATAGTTGTGCAACCATGCATGCGAGAATAGCTGTGGTTCATATTTAGTAACATGTGAGGTATTATCTAACAAGTCCTTGGTAGCAAAATTAAAAGACTAGGTGTTTTTGGTCAAACTAGCAACTTGAGATCTCTCTAACTGTCTAACAGGTTAGATTGATGATTCTTAACTCCAGTTATAACTTATAAGTATTCTATAAATTATTGGTTCATTTTTTATATTCCCAAATGTTGGCTAAATCTATGTTCTGGCATACTTGATCTTTATGTACCTAGCGTTACATGTCATCCCGTTTTATTTTCTGAAGCCTTACCGTGTAATCTATTTTTTACACTCTACACACTCTTTAGGGGGTGTTTGGTTGGATCTATTTCTCGCTTTTACACTTTGGCTTAGAAGCTAAAAAGGCATCCATTTATGAGCTTTTGACTTAGGCTTTTGCCTAATATTGTTATATCATGAATTCATGGTATAAGCCAAAAGCCATAAATAGGTGCCTTTTTGGCTTAGAAACCAAAGTGTAAAAGGCAAGAATATAAGCCCAACCAAACACCGGTTTTTCTGATTTAATCTAGTCAAATATACCATTAACAAGTGTTAGACAAAAGTCAGAGTTTTTGCCTGCCGTGCTGCTATAAATAGTTTGTCAGTTCAGTTAATCAGTTAATCGGGTTTAGACACCACTAGTTGAAGTACATGTACCATATATGAATATGGGGAGGGGGATGTCTTCCATGCTCTAATTGTGTGCTCAAAAGCTCGAGCGCTCCGTTTAGCGGTTCAGGATATATGAAATTTACCTGAAGAAGAAGCTCTTGTTGGAAATATACCCCAAAGGTAAACATGTGATGATGTTATTTCCTTATGTATTCATGAGTTTATTGTATTGTCCTTGAACATCATCATTGATATGTACTAATAAATATATGACTTGCCTGTGAGACTATATATTGTATGATGATTGTTCTAATGGTCCCTAGTTGATAAGGTTATGCGGACACATATCCTTTGACTAGTGTATAATTTGCTTGATGACTATGTTTCAGAAGTCATGGGCATCAAGATGCTAGCCCGATAGTATGGACTTGGGGATGGAGACCATCGAGTCGGACATACCCACTTTGGGACGCAACGAGATATTGTCATATGTGTAGGGTAACACAACAGAAAACAAAAATATTCCGTTAGACGCATCAGCCTAGGACCACTATGAAGATGCATACAAGGTTTGATCCAATCATTACCAACTTGTAGCACACCGGAAGTAGAGTTGGTGCATATCCCCGTAGATAGGAATTTGCAACCTCCCAACTGCAAGGATTTTCTCCCTTGAACAGTCCCTCGATTAGTCCCTCAGACAGAACCTCAGACTACCCCTCAAACAAAAGATCGAACATACGATATTTCTATTGGGTTGCACACATATGGTGTCACATATCCACCAGAGCTTTGCTGTCCATAATAAATCCATGCCGGAGACTAGGCAGCCTTTCGGCGCTACGGAACTATCTCGTGAGGGAGAGAAAGAATGGCAGATCATTGTATGCCTTTGTGGTGAGAAACTTGGAGATACTTGATTGAGTTTGAGAGCTCCCTCATGGGGGGGGGGGGAGGGGGCTATCCACCCCTTGGCCGGCCATACCATGGGGCTCCCTCATGGGGCCCCACCTCCCCCAAAACATGCTCCACCATTTTTGGGATAAAGCCCCAAGGGGGGCTTTCCACCCCAACCAAAAGCCACCAAAGGGGCTGCCCCTAACGGGGGCGCCCCCATAAAGCACTCCCACGAAGCGTGGGATCTCATCCCCCCACGCAGGGATGTTTTTGCGTGTGCGTTCCCTCTAGAAAATTCCTGGCAATGCCAGAACATTTATCGCATCCTCCAGAATTACCAGACGCCATTCGAAACATTTTTGGTATGATGGTTTTCCCCAAAATAATTTTCGGTTTCTCTGAAACACTTCCAGTTTTTTTTTTGTGAAAAATGTTCGTTGTCTCCGAAACATTTTCATCCCCAACCTCTTTTTCGGCATGGGTGGCGGCGCGGGGTGGTTTCCGTCGGTGATAAGCCGGCGGTGTGGTAGAAGGATCTTGGCTATCCATTCTGGTGACATGGCCTGTCATTGGTGGCGATGACGGCGCGTGGGGGCAGCAACAGCGGGAAGGACGGAGCCGCGAGGATGGGAGGAAGAGGCACGCAACTTTTACTCGACTGTGCAAGCACTGAGTATATTTAGGTGGCTTGGAGTGGATTTTCGATGGGGGAATAAACATTATATGCCCTTATAGGTTTTAGCAGTTCAGCTAGGTGACATAGAAGAGGATCGGGACTGTTGGTCAGCATGATCTCCATCCTCTCACTCCTGACAATCCTTTCGAGTTTGGTAAAAAAATGAGTTACGCTAGAGTTATAGATAAGTTTTTACGGATTGCCGTTAGGTGGCCTTTTTTGGTTGGATTATGGAGGAAGGGGGGTCCACCCCGTGAAATCATGGGGGGAGGTAATTAGTGTGAAGGTTTTCGTAAAACCTCCACCACTCTTTGTAGGATTATTAAAAAAATACAGCCATTTGTCAGATTGGAAAAGCTACCGCACATTAGTCTAATTAAGAAACACTAACTTAATAAAAAAACTCTAAGTTGCATTAACTTTTCTTGTGGGGAAATTTATTATAAAAGAAACCTGTAAGTTAAGGCCACAAAATTATACTCCCTCCAAATTTCATATTCATGTGTTCTTAGTGTATAATTTATTTTCACATGCTCTTTTAAGACATGATTCTTTGCTAAGTTAATGCATAACATGAATGTTTTTCCTTAAGAGT